ATCTGCAATTCTCAGAAAAGTCTGCATATGATGTTTAGACCCCAATAAGGTTACTGCTGTTACAAGATGTAAGTTAACTGTAATATACAATAAGCCTAGTCTACTAATATGTATATTGCTTTTAGATTTTTATTGTATATTATTTTTAATCTAATAAAAGTGATTAAAGTGATTATAACAAAAAATGTTTCATCTGGGCCTAACCTAATAAATACTATAAACTTTATATATAAGTAAATGACTCAGACTCAGACTAAATTAACTCAGACTATGATGCTGAGAAAGTTATGACCAAAGTTCTGTTTATTCAGGGAATCAAATAAAAGATTCATCAGTTGTGTATACATGAGATTTTGACCCTGTTTATACTTGGAATTAACATCTGATCACATCACATGCACTGATAAATCACATATTTAGGGATAGTCAAAAACACTTCAGACTATAGCCCCCTTCACACATACAGACTTTACTGGAAAATTACTGGTAAATTGCCGTAAAGAGATCATGTGTGAACAGGCCCTTTTTAAAAATACGGTATGAGAAGTTGTAACATTACCAGTAAATTGCCGGAATTCTGCTGTGTGTGAATGCAGAATGAAAATTACCGGTATAAGCACGTACAAGTTCAGAACACGCTGACGTAAGATGTACTCCGGGCCAATCCAGAGACATTGAAATTCAAACTTCAACAGCTCTGGGCCAATCATAATATTCTGACGCAGATGACGCATTTACTCCGCGCTGTGTTTGAAGTCGTGTAGTGCGATGTCTCTGGGTCAAAAGAAGCTGCATGAACATGAACGTTTGACACAAAAATGAAAACATACTCAGCCCCCCTAAAATTTTGCGATTAGCTCCATAAACTGTACACTAGGGATATGCCGGTATCAAATTTTCATGTTGCGATTAATTGCTAATGCTTTTATCACGGTATTATCACGATATTGAAATTTAGTTTAAAAAAAGTGCTGTCATAATACAGTATAACAGGTTTAATAATTTTTTTTCTTATAACAAAAATAACTGAACATTTAAATGCAATAAAGCAATACAGAAAAATGTATAAAGTTCAAAGTTTTACACAGATAAAGTGCAAAAGAACTATAAAGACCAATAGGTATCACTTTACAGTAAGACCTCATTACTTAACCTTAGTTAATGCATTAACATTCACAATGAGCAATAGCTACATTTGCTACAGAAGTTATTAATCTTTGTTTAAAAAATACAAGTCTTAGTTCTTGTTAGCTCATTAAATAACACAGTTGCAACTTTCGATTTTAACAACCTGTTATTAAATATTGGAATACCTAAGATTAATGAATGTTCAGAAGAATTTTTCATTGGCAGTTTTTTGCGATTAGCTCCATAAACTGTACACGAATTCGTGATCACCTCAGTCCCCTTTAAATTTCATCTGAAAACGGTGGCAGACTTCGATCGGCTCCTCCCCATCTTTCAGCGCATTCTTTTTCAATCCGCAGACCGCAGCAGCGCAGAGCAAGAAACAGAGGACAAGGTGCGTGTTTATCGATAGATTATAATATCTGCATCTGCGCAGTTCTTTGACATAAATACAGTTTAAAAAATATCATGGGGGAGCAATCATTTCCACATCT